ATCTCACAGGTTCATGGAAGGCTACATGTATCCAACGACAAGAAACACAAGATCTAAGACGAAATGTGAATAATAATGGCCACAATCAATTTATTTGACATGTACGATCATGAACACAAGTGTGTATACATATCCAACAACAAAGTTGCCGATTATTTTCGTTTATACGTCCACATGACGACACAGTCGAGTACAGAACGATCACCACGTCCTCATGCAGACGTGAGAAGGGTTAGGACGTCTGTGCAGTCGCAGTGGCCACTTCCTCCGCGCTCTTCTCCTCCTTCTCCTCGGCCTTGTGCTCGCCTCCTTCCACAGCAGGCTCAGCCTCTTGGGGTTTCGCCTCACTCGATGTCTCTTCCTTGCTCTCCTCGGCAGTCTCGTTGGATTCCGCCACGACCTAATAGACACAGTGTCAGATCAGGGAAGAGACGCGTAAGAGAATCAACGGCAGCCAGTTAGGCTCTTTGGTACCTCAGCGGCCTCGGCGGTGGCGGTGACGGTCACGTCGGTGGGAGCTGAGTTATTGGCTGGTGGACCCTCAGGAGCCTGGCCTTCGGTGGTCGTCGGTTTACTCGCACAGCCGCCCATGGTTTCTTTTTGGCTGTGGAGGAAAAAGCGTTTCAGATGCTTGGAGGAATGGCGAGGTGGAAGTGAGCAGCTGACCAGTTTTTATAGGGTGGCAGGATTAGAGAGAGAGAGACATGGGTGGTGTGAAGGCTGTGTTTATATTTAGGGAAGGAATGAGCGGAGGATGGGCGACATGGTTGTTGAGGTAACGTTGGCTCCTTCAAATGGATATGTAGAATTGCATCCTCCTCATTAGCCGTCTCAATTAGCAATAAGATTTTGGGAAAACTTATTATTATTATTTCTTTACTATGATTTTTCAAGAAAATATAATAATTCAAAAATAAACCCTTTAACGGAGAAAATAAAACACCTTCCAAAAATGATAAGTTTCCGGATTATATATTATAATAGCATCAGAAAAGTTGATCCTCTCAATAAAAATTATCATAAATCCATTATAAAAATATAAAAAATAACATCTAAAATATTAAAAATAGCATATTTATCAAGCTGGGGTGGTGGCTCGTCGCAAATCGTGTCCATCATGAAACCTCGTACCCCGTCCTCGCGCGACAGCGAAGCCCACAGGAACACGACTTCTCCGGATCTACCGTCCCGTTACCCTGCCCTGCGTGTAATCCTGCTCCGATCCCACCGCCCCGGACGCTCCAATCGGAACCGTAGGTAACGGATACGATGCGTCGCCCCGCGCGTTCTCTTGAACATCTTCCGAAGAGTCCTGGCACGTGGCGCGTCGAGGACGACCAGTTGCGGGTCGAATCGGATGCGGGGCAGGGGAAATATCTGAACTCGTGGCCCAGCTCGAGACATGTCACTGCGGGCCCCGCGGACCACGGGTGGCGGCAAACGCGGTGTACGTTGACGTGGCCCGCACGCCATCGGGAAAAGATATTTTCCTCGAGGGGATATTTGGTTGCGGCGGAGGCGTGGATCGCTGCGGTGTCGCTTACCTCACCAACGAGAGAACCAAGAGGTGCGAAGGAACAGACGGCCGTGGCGTGGTTAGGGTTGGAGGTGGATATGGGGGCGAAAGAGGAGAGAGGAAGGTCAGGTGAAGAGGAGGCGGAGGCGGAGGCTGTGGTGGCGGGAGAAGGGGAAGTGGAGGAGGAGGAGATGGTCTTGCCGAACATGTCGGTTAGGGTGCTGCTTGTGGAGGGGGATGATTCCACCCGGCAGATCATTGCCGCGCTCCTCAGGAAGTGTGGCTACAGAGGTTCGTTTCTTCTCGTTCCACTTCTCCGGCTGATCCTTTGATATGTTACAGATCGATCCCTACTTTCCATACTTCCGCTGATGTAAATGTGATTCCTATAGTTACTTACAAACTGAAGCAGATAGGTGTATATTCGTGGCATGATCAAATTGGCTTTTGATTCTTATGATTTGGTTTTGGGATTTAGATATAGGTTAATATTTCATCATTGATGGAATTATTGGACTACGCAAAGTTGCAAAGTGGGAGATGAAATATTCTTGATACTTTGGGTTCTTTAGAGACATCGTGTTAGATAATACTTTGCTTGTTGTTATTGATGAATCGACCTTTGGTGCCATAAATATATTGCTGCACAAAAATGTTTCTTTTACTATTGCAATGGTCCATTAGTTTTCTTTTTCCGGATTCAGCCTAATCGAACTTCTTATGGATTTAATTTGTTGGACTCAGCTTCAGGAGTTTCCACATATGTGGTTGTAAGGAAATCAGTAAGCGTGATAAAGACTTTTTAGATAGGAAAGAGGTTCTATGTTCCAATGGGCTCTGTGAGGAAATTAATATATTATCTGCTTGTCCTATGATTACTTGATGATTTGATGGGTGACAATTCGATGGGCTCTGTGATTATTTGATGGGTGACAATGTTAAATCTAAAGGCTCTTGCATTTCATTTCATTAAGTTCCATTGTTTTCCTTTAATTCATGTTGCTTAGAAGATTCATCAAGGGGTTTGGGTGCAACTGAAAGAATTCCTTGGTTAGATACAATCTAAAGGCTAAATGGTAGAGGATGAATACTGGGGTAGACAGATGATTAGTTTCCTGTTGTGGAAGAAGGAAAGATCTCAGTAACGATATATTGGTTGTGATCAAATGACATGCCATGAATGGCAATTATTACTGCTAATGGCAATTAATTTACCATAATGCTAAGTTAAGAAAGTATACATATATATATGTATATATATATATATACATATATACATTTATATATACACATATAGATATATATGTATATGTATATGTATATGTATATATATATACATACATACATATATATACATACATATATATATATACATATATATATATATATATATATATACATATATATATATATATATATATACATATATATATATATATATATATATACATATATATATATATATATATATATATATATATATATATTCAATTAAACGAGCATAGTCTTGTAAAGAAACATTGAGTAAATACAGGGGTATTGATGAGATGCAGACTATAAAGGAAAAAAGAAACCAAATAGGTGGAAGTGAAAAGCTGAGTTAGATCCCTGTTGTTCATCTTTTTGTTGCTAGATGTTGTTTTTAAAACACATGAGGTAAGTATTGAACATTTAGGAACATGCCAAAGTAGGACTACTAGAGGAACCTTTAACATATTTTTCTTATTTTAATGTTATAAAATTAGCAACTCATACAGACTATAAAGGAAAAAAGAAACCAAATAGGTGGAAGTGAAAAGCTGTGTTAGATCCCTGTTGTTTGTCTTTTTGTTGCTAGATATTGTGTTTAAAACACATGAGGTAAGTATTGAACATTTAGGAACATGCCAAAGCAGGACTACTAGAGGAACCTTTAACATCTTTTTCTTATTTTAATGTTATAAAATTAGCAACTCATACATCCTTAGACAAACAGGCCTCAATTTGCTGTGAACACTGCAAAATGGCCAGCTGGATACAGGAACTTCAAGTTTTTCTTTCCCAGAATTTATTTTGATGCATTTGAAGAGTAGCTTGTTAGTCTAAAATGCTGTCATTAAAAGACAATTTAAAAATGCTTTTACAATGAAGACAATTATAGCCTTTTAGTATTGGATTGTATTAGTGTACGGATCTTTATTACATAGGATTTCACCTCACAAAGTCTTGCTGTGTGCAGATCATTTAACATCTTTTGTGATTATGCATTTACTGTGTAAATGAAAGTCGACTTCTTCTATATAGTATAGCTTTCCTATTAGGTTTCCGTATGTCAATAACCTAAAATTAGGAACTTTCCCACATTAGGTATTGCCCAAGATGATTTTTATGTCAAACATTTGTAGCAGGGTATCAAAACTAGTGTTCACAGTTTATGAATGAGAATGGGAGAAAAGTAGGAAGGACACAGAGAACACATACAACAGAAGGACCGATAGACCTAAATCCAAACTAGAAGAGCTTCTATAGGAGACAGAGAACACATACAACAGAAGGACCAATAGACCTAAATCCAAATTAGAAGAGCTTCTATCAGTTCTACCTGCCTCCACCAGAAGGTAAACTCTTGGTTCTAAACCATACACATATTTCAGCAATAAGCTTTAATCTTTTAGATCAACCAACTACAGTTTACTGCTTGCTTTAGTCTTTTACGATGCAGGGATCACATCCTTCAAGTTTTTCATTCAGAAGTTCCATTTGTATGGAGTACCATGCTTTTCAATTTCAAGATAAACTGGCATTTTTAAGATGGAAATATCCTTAAAATTTTTATGTTTCGGATCCGACAGTTGCTGCATCATCATCAGATGGCTTGAAGGCATGGGAAACACTGAGGGAGAAACCCCAGAGTATAGACCTTGTTTTGACTGAAGTTGACTTGCCATCAGTCTCTGGATATGGCCTTCTCAGCATGATAATGGATCACGAGACATGCAGGAATATTCCAGTCATAAGTATGATTCGTGATTTTTGACTTCTTTCCTGTAGTACTTTTTGAGAAGAGATTCTTAGCAGTAATACTTAGGTCACAATACAAAATCTTCCTTTGATTCATCCAGTGATGTCTTCACATGATTCCGTCAGCATTGTTTTCAAGTGCATGTTGAAAGGTGCAGCCGACTTTCTCATTAAACCAATCCGCAAGAATGAGCTTAGGAATTTGTGGCAGCATGTTTGGAGAAGGCAAATTGTAAGATTCATTTACATCTTAGTCATCATTATCCCCTCTAACTTAACCATTGGCTTTATTGTAATATTTCTTCTTATCTGAGCATATATTGATATTTGCATAATTGCATTCTCTGTAAGGCAAGTGGACAGAGTGGTGTGCATGAGATTCAAGATAAATGTGATGCAAAGCATAAACTGAAAGCTCATTCCAGAAAAGGAGGACATTCAACCGATTACACATATAAGGAATGCAGTGATGCTCAAGTAAGAGATCTTCATACTATATTTAAATTAAGTGTACAGCATATATGATATGATTTCCATTAAATGATGGATCATTAACTTCCTGTAACTCTATTTGTGGAATTTTTTTCCCTATTACAAGATTACTGGATCTATACTTCTCCTACATATAGCCTAAACATCAGAAATAATATTAGAGATTCTACATACAATTTTCCTATACTTTGTACTTGTATTATAGCTTGACACAACAGGGTATGTTTTGACAATCTCAGTTATCATATTTTTTCTTGTGAAATTATTTCTGATTGTAAGCACAAGATTGATCTTTATTTTAGGATATTTTTCTTTCAGTGAAGTGTAGCACGCTTCTGACAACATATCTGAATGTAGAATTGTAAATATAATTTCACCTAGACACTACACTTTTCCACCTCTTGTGCAGAGCTCTTGTGCAAGGTCAGATGTGGCAACTGACATTAAACACAACCACTTGGAGCTCAAGCAGCGAAAAGCAGTGGAAGCATCTGTAACTCTGAATGATGGAGAGAATATTCAATTCTACAATGCACCATTCTATAATGAAAATGCAGCTAATGGTACTATTTTTCGTCATGTTCAATTTTCATTTTTCTCATTATGACAATTTGGGACTTTATGCAACTGAGATAAGCTGGTTCTGTTTAAACTTGTTAATGTCACAGCAGCCAGTAAAAATGTGGATGTGATACAAAAAGAATGCATGGACTCCAACACTATCACCAATGAGAAAGATGGCCAGAAATGTTATCATGACATAACTTCTATAATCCGAGTGATTGATAATCAATCAAAGGGTACTCTTCAATCTAGAGGCAGAAACACTGTTCAAAGTGGGTCTTCAGACATGGCAATTCATGATATTGATGTTATTCACAAGTCTTGCCCCACACCTCACTTGGAGCTCTCTCTAAAAAGATGCGAGAGAATATTTCCTGAGAAGCATGACTATGATGAGATCAATGTGTGGAACCATTCAAATTCATCAGCCTTCTCACTGTGAGTGTTTCATTATACTTTAATTCACAGCTTAATGCTCGACTAATTTTTTGATCTTCATATTAGTAAATCATAGACATTGCGCTTATGCAGAGACAACCTTGTTACCCATATTAAGGTTGCTCTATTACCACCTGGTTGCAGCAGTTCTAGTCATGCAAACAATCTCTTTGAGTGCAGAGCTAAGACCATTATTTGACAATGGAGGGAGGAGTCATCATTCACAATGACACCTTTTTTAAGATGAGGGTTTACATTCGAACCGACATTTGTATATTGTTAGATCACATGAAATGAAAGTTGACATTCTTCACCCAGTGAAACATTTGAAAATTTTATCTTATCCGAAATAACATCTGATTAGTTGTGTTTATCTAGTTGGGGATTATGTTGATTCTATGAACTCCTAAGGATCTGAAGATGAACATTAGTCAAACATGTATCATACGCCTGTTTTACATAAAACGGGCTTAAAATGATCTAATTTCTAGACATATTTCTAATGTCGGATTTCAAGAGGGTATCCAAAATCAAGAATTTCTACAGCATATATTCAATTAAAGAGATTGGACAAGTAGTAAAATGCATGGACTTAAAAGATTTCAGAGTTTGTGCTATTAGAATATAGTGTTCTTGTATGCACATGGCTGGTTCTAAGGACTATTTTCCTTTTTTATTAGAAAATCAAAGCTGATGCCGGATTATTCATTGTCTATGAAGGAAAGTTAAAGGAAGAAGATATTTGGATTAGAGCTATTAGAGAGGCATGATGTAGAATTGATAGTGTATGAGAAAATGGATTTTTGTTCTTTTTTTCCATCACTGGATTTTATGTTCATTACAAACAGAACGATCTAATTTCTCTACCAGATCTAGACTAAATGAAAACAGCCTTTATACTTGCAGAGTATAGCTTTGTACACTAATCCTTTTTAGCAGCAGCAGGAGCCTCATACATTGGGCTGCCTTACTTGATATTGACTATTTTTGGCAGTCTTTATTAATTGGTCAAGATTATGGTGTTAGAGACCATTGAAAGAGGTTTCTTCCTTTATACTAACTAATTCATGTTGCCCGCCTTTTCCTCTTTGCATGTCTTTCCCAATAGGCCTTCTCTTTACTGTATCATAAAGCGAACTAGGTGGAAAATTTAAACATTCAATTTTACATACTTGCTTTCTTATGAACCTTTTCTCCTCTTTTCCGTGCATCCTGTGAATGATTTTTTATGATAAAATAAGTTGGATCTGTTGTAGACATTATCTTATATCCATAATTTGTCAGAGAACTACTCAACCTGTCTTTTACTACAGGTACAATTCCAGAACAGTAATGCCTACCTCGATGAATTCAGGATCTAAAGGCAATGACCCGAATTGTACTGAACATTCAAAATATCAAGGTTCTACTATAAATATGGAAGAGACGACGTTCGAGGTTGTAGAACATTCAGTTCAATGCAATCCCCTTCAAGTTATTCCATTCACTCTTCCAGTTGGAAGCATGCCCTTGTGTTCTGAGTATGATACAGCAATGCAACACATGATCTATACAGAGTCAGATCATAAATTTTGGAGTACAAGTCCATCTGTATGGCTAAAAACTACCACAGAGACAAACTCATCGCACCAACCTACCCAAGAAGACCAGGACTCTGTGGAAGGTGGCATTCCAGATGGCAAGAACACTAGAAGTTCATCTTATCATAATGTGCAAGAGCAGGAAGAACATATGGAAGTCGATAAACAGAGGCACATTTTATCAGCAGCTGGTGAAAGTGGTAGTAGTAGCATATGTAATGGTGGAAGAAGTCAACCTAATAGCAGTGCTAGTGGGGGTGTTCTCAGTGGAACTACCGGACACACGTTTGCAACAAATATTTTCGGGCCCATCACAGTGACGGTAAATGATGAGGTCAAATTGGCTCGTGAAGGAACCAAGGTAACAGATGGTAGCATGAGCCAAAGAGAAATGGCTCTAAACAAATTTCGATTGAAGAGGAAAGAAAGATGTTTTGAAAAGAAGGTACTAATTTATATTCGACTTTATGGTTCTTAGAGCAATCATCATTTTCGGATTGAAATGAACCAAACTAGATTCTTCTCGGACAAGACAAGCTAGTGATATGAACTTGACTAGTGATAAACAAGATAACAATCGAAAGCTTCATCGTATACGAAATACTGATTCATGGTGATTTTATTTTGAGTTTCACAGGTTCGGTATCACGCCAGAAAATTACTTGCAGAGCAGCGTCCTCGAGTGAAAGGACAATTTGTTCGTCAAGCAAAACTCAATCCTCAGCCAACATTTGCAGGTGCCTTTTAGAGTGATTCAGCCGCTTGGTAGCTTCGGCATCCGAAGACATCTTATCATGCAAGTCAAATGAATGGGTGTGCTTTGTGAAATAGAAATTCAATATGAATTGAGGTGGAATACTCGTCAACAAAATTCTCAAGAACATGTGGTGATTTGAGGTATTTACTTGCTCAGATCGAATGTGAGCTTTTTTTGTATGTTGTATATAATCATACGTTGTAGTTGTCTTGTTTGTTTCTTGTCTCTACATGCTTTCATCAACTAGTTTTGATGTTTTTCACTTTCCTCTGTCATCCTTTTCTCTTACATTTCTGTGATACATACTATATATATATATATATATACATATATATATATATATATATATATATATATATATATATATATATATTG